GAAATGAAAATAGGCTCCAGAAAGTGTCATCTTACACCAGGGGACAGATGCTACAGAAAATGTCTGAGTTTAATCAGTCTTGGGTAACTAAGGAATCATGCACAGCAAGGCCTCGGGCTCCTCTAAGGAATCTGTGCACCACAAATGGGAGGCTGGCCTGCCAGAGCACTTTGTAAACACAATTTTAATAGCAGAGCTCTTTGATTCTAATAAAATATTATTTTGAAGGCAGATACACAATGAAGAACAAAATGGTGAATTAATTATTGGAAGAGCTCAAGCCTGTATTGTTTAACCTCCCAAATGCTTCGCTGTTTGCAAAACCCTGAAGCCCCCCCATCTCCCCCCTCAGGACCCATTGAGATTTTGCATAGCACAAAGTAAAAACCACTGCCCAGGAGCAGACTTCCATGCAGCCTACTCCACGCACACTACACCAGGCTTAAACACAGCGCAGTACTCCTTAGAAACAGCAATGCAAAGCTTAGCCCAGTGCTCATAGAAAGCATGGAATTGAAGTATGGATACTACACACGTACTGAGGGAAAATAACCCACATAAAAACTTGCTTATCAGTTCCTCCTTATTCATCCCAACTAGCAATCACACTAGTGTTTTCCCTCATCGTATCCCACGTCGTAGTTTTCCTCAGAAATTTCCATGGATATTTAATGCCTGCATCTTGTAGTTTCTTCAAAAGGACAAAGAAGTCCAGTCAAGGCCAAAAGACTGCTATTTTCCTAAGAAACTGTCAGCCAAATTTCTCAGGGAGGAACTGGAAATGAAATGAGAGACATTGATAAATTTCCCTGCTGAACAATCAATAAAAGCCCCACCGTCCTGCTCAGACTCCCACTGTGGAAGCAAGAGCCATAATTACATTGTCAAAAATTCAAGTTGCCCCAGCTGACAGCGGCCCCCTTGGAAAGTGACAAATGATTGACACCCAGTTCATGTTGGCGAAGCTAGATTGGCAGAAGGGGTGGCCAAGGCAAAAAGCAAGGGTGAAATTTCCTTATTGATTTCATCCGCCCAAACCCCAGACCTCCTTAGGAGAAATCTGGAGGCCCTTTGGTCACATTAACACGTCAAAGTAAGCAGGTGACAGGACGTACTAAACAATCTGAACTCCTCCTGAAATTTAGCATGTGCCCTGCTGGGATCCACTATCAGACAAAGAAAGTGTGGGGGGTGGGGCATGTGTGTGTGAGTCTGTGTGCAGGGGTGTGTGTGTGTGTGTGTGTGTGTGTGTGTGCAGGTGTGTGTGTGCAGGTGTGTGCACATGAGTACATGAATGTATGAGTTTTTCTGCAATAAAAGAAAGACATAAACCCACCTTCAATTCCAGCTTTCCTGGAATTGACAGCAGAGCAACAAACCTTGTCTGTTGTTTGCTTAGTGTTTTGTTGTTGTTGTTATTATTGTTTTGTTTTGTTTTGTTTTTATTTGTAGGGAAGGGTCTACAGGGTGATCAGGGTCTCACTACTAGATCTGACTCAGAGTGGTCCGCCTGTTTACAGCCTGGGATTACAGGCTCGCGCCACCACACCCAGCCTCAATTGCCTTGTCAATGAGCCCAGGGGGCGGGGCTGGCATAGCAGGAGCTTAGTGCTTTTAATTGATGATAAAATCAGCTAGAGCAGAAGAGTTACAAAGGTAGTGATGAAGAGCAGGGAAAAAGGAAGGGGGGAGGACAGGCTTGCCGACATGAAGACCCACTCAGCGATTCTCCCCTTTTGAGGGCAGTGGCCTGCTCCTGACTGCACTGGGGCCCAGGAGGTGGTTCTTAAAAGCTTGCCTGGATCTACGCCCAGGAGCAGAGGTTGCCCTGAGATGGGAGCACTGTGCCTCAGAGATAGAATCTCGGGTATCTGCTGGCTGTGGGAACAGAACAGCAAGCGCCTGAGAGTGTCGCTGCCTGGTTGTCTCCCAGGCTAAGTCCTCTCTCGCATTGTTGGAGAGAGACAGGCATGTAAAGTAACAGAAAAATCCTTAGGCCAAATGGAAAAAGCCTCTGCCCCCTCTTTATCCTTTTTAAAATGTCCTGGCCATAAGAAGAATGAGGTTATTGGTACTGGATACTTAATTGCTTTGGAAAAGAATAAGATCAAATTTGCAAGAACCACTGATAGTTGAGTCACCCTGTGTTAGAAGCAGGGAAGCACATGCGGAACTGGGAGTAGGAAGGGATGATGCGTGCGCTGGGTTCAGAGAACGTTTGCCCACAGTCATAGCTGATACGCAGCCGCAGTGGACTGATTTCTGACTCCTCAGCAGCCAGCCACTGAAGTTAGCATGCAAGATGCTGCTGGGGTCCAATCACAGAGGAAAGGCTCGCTCTCAAGCCCCCTGAGGCAGAATCTGGAGGCGAGACCCCAAAACCGAGATGCATAAGCTCTCCTCAGAAGAGCCCCTGTGCGACACAACAGCAGATCTCCACAGGACAGCACCCGGGGGATGAGTCAGTGCTGGCCATTGGGGCTTTCTGGTGCAAGGCAGGGAATCAAGCTACTCACAGCTTTGTGTACTTGACAGCTGCAGAAAATTAGTTTTTCTCTAACGCCTTGGTGTCATCAGACCCACCTTTGGCCCTGGGAAAAGGCCAGCAAAATTACGTAACGATTTTGAGCATGATGTACCATCGTGCCAGAGGGGAAATCTGTTGGAGACCTCAGGTGCTGAGGGCCAGCGGAGCAGGATTGATGAGCCACACGAGTGCCTGCGGGTCGCCGACAGATACCTCGGGACAGGATCCCTCGCACCCCAATGCTAAGCTGTCTCCTACATCGCATCTCCTTCCAGCGACTTGGACTGTGCAGCGCCGCTCTCAGAAAGGAAAGAGCCTGGTGCTGCCTGCGCTCCACATGTGTCCTGCGGGACACAAGAGATCCTTGCCCCTCCCACGTGAGAAAGGGCTCGGGGAATGGGTTACACAGCTGTGCATGGCAGCTCTGAAAACTCAGAGGAGAATACGACGGGCAGGAGAGAAAAGAGGAAGAGGAAAGACAGCAGAGAAGAAATGGAAAGTGAGAGAGGAAAGAGAAGGTGGAAAGGAGGATGCAGAGGAAAGGCGGCCTCACGCTGTGTTTACAACCCCGACAGCCGAAGCAGTAGCCTTTTTCAACAATCAAAATTCTCAACACATATTCAAGGTATCCATTGTGCTTTAATTGCCCCTATTGACTATAAACGACGGCACTATAAATTTTCTTAAAACAAAGGACAAGGTTTATTTAAAACACAGGTATATAAGTATAGACTCGTGTGCTCTTTAATCTCTCATAACTTGAACATGAGCAAGTTATTCTGTTGGAATGCAAAAGGCAGAGTAAAAAAGTTAGGACCGTTTTCACTCATCTGAGTTCCAATTTCTCGCAGGAGTTGTACCACTAGCGTTGTGCAGGGCGATGGGTCTTGGATCTGAAGACTCTCGGGGTTGTTTGGATGATCAAGAGCCTGGCTTAAAAGCCTGTGCTGTGCCCTTTGGTTCTGCAGTGGTCTGCATCCCCGTGGGGCAAACAGCAGCACTGTGGTTTGATGTCTTAAGTGAACATCAGTCTAGAGTGCACATCAAGGACCACGGCCACTCAGGGATGCACGGGACATGCTTGTGGGTTGTGGCCCACAGGAGCAGGCACATCCAGCTGACCAAGGTAAGTGTACAGCACACCCCTCAGGAAGGAGAACAAGAGAATCAACAGAGTAGGCTGTTCAGTTTCTGCCCCCAGTATTTGCTGGTATTTAAACATTAAAACTTTCATCTTTATTGTTCAACTTAATTAATACCTGAGGAAAAGATCTTGCTTCCTTTTATAATAAAAAAAAAAAAAGAGCCCAGAGAGCATATTTGGGTAAACAATGACTGAGACCCACAGCTCACTGTAGCCGGAGCCTGGACAGAGACAAGTGTCAGCCCCCTTCGCACACACCTACAACAATCATGCTGGGGCAGGTGGGATTTTTGTCATGCTACAGAGAGGCCAATATGGAAAATGTGGTGTCCCCCTCTGAGGCCACACTGGAGCCCATACTTTTGATCTTCCTTGGCACACCCTACCCCACCAAACATAGACAAGTACCCACTGAAATGCATGTAACACTCGTAACTTTTATCTTATATTTTCCAGCTGGTGTTAACAATCACCCTGGCACACAGAGGAATTTCCTGAAGATTAAGGACAAGAGGTCAATTTTGCAACAGAGAATTAGGTGATCAGAAGGCAAATAAATATGGGGCAGGAACACAGGGCAGCCTCCTCCCAGTTCTCTTCTAGCAACCCCCAAACATCCCACCCACTGGCGTGCGGACTCTGAGTCCAGCCGGGATGCAGCGCAGTGATGGGGGAGGCAGAGGCTCGGCGAACACCACAGTAAGTTGTCCTTGTCCAGTTCCTAACGCCAGACAGTACACAGAGGGATGCTTCCAGGGCTGCTAAGTAATTATCTCAGCTTTTGCCCAGCTATGCTGCAACTGCAAATGTAAATCTCACGGGTTTACCACAAAAAATGTTTCAGTCCTTTCCTCACAAGCCAGCCATCCTCAGCCCTGCCACAGGCTGTCTTCACTCAGTTTCCCATGTTGAAGGAACCGCCCTGACCAGGGACAGGCTACTCTCAAGAGGAAAGAAGGAGCAAACTGGCTGAAGCAGCACAATGACTTAACACGTCTGCAGCCCGTGCAGTCAGTCCCTTGTGCTCACAGGTCAGTGAGCAAAGTAAGTTCTCAGTGGAGCCCACTCTCAATGGGAAGGGCAGTGTGCCCACCGCGGAGAGAATGAGTACCTGGCCACGGGCAAAGCTGGTCCTCTCACAGGAAGAGGAGCAAACGATTGGGGCACTGTGGTAACTTTGTTGTGAAGAAAGTCACAGCATGCTCTAATTGACCTGTTGCCTCAGCAACTAATAGCCAGGTTTTCTAAATAGCTTTATCAATTGCCCTTGCTCAGGTATTTGCTAGATGCAGCCCTGATTCATTTCCTCTGCTCAGCTGCTCAACTCACCGTGCAGGGAAAGGGTTCCATTCCGCACAGCCAGGAACTTGACACCGTAGGGAAAGAAGGGAGTGGAGTGGCAGCTCCCATAGAGCGTGATCTGCGCTTTGCCTTGGAAGGGCTTGTCCCTCAATCCAATCCGGAGCTCTCCGCCGTCAGAAACAAGGATGGAGTGGGCCCGGAGCTCCACAGGTCCCGGCCCCATGAAAATCACCTTGCCTCCTAATGGACAAAGACAACAAGGTCAGTGTGTAGAAGAATGGGGCCCTCGGTTTCAGCATCATGACAGTGCCAGTGACTGAGGGAACCTCTTTCATTTAGGTACTTCTTCTGGCATTTAGACTTATCTTGCACACTTTTCTAGAAGCAAAACTAGATCTCCAAGACGCCTGGGGGAGAATCCAGTTGGGGTTAGATAATATTCACTGCTGCTTTGTTTGTAGTATTTTTGTGAGAATAGTCTACATAACTAGCGATTTAGAACTGGTCAAATAATGGGTGGAAGGCTACTAACTTCACCATTTAGCCCAAGACAAAAGCAGTTTGTAAAATTCAACTTAAAGGAACAGAAAAAGGACATTAAAACTATGGATAGAAGGAAATGTTCCCAAGCTATAAGAACCATGACAATTTAAAGAAAAGTCCTAGAAAACGAGGGCTCACATCATGGCGCCGGTAACATATTGGCTGGCCATCACCCAGCGCCTTTCTTTTGGCCATAGACTCTTAACTCCCTGGAGAGCGCTTCCTTGCTAGAAGTGGACAGCCAATCAAGACAGCTTGTCAGACCAGAGCCTGACTCACACACTAGTGCTTCAAAAGGAATCCAGGGCAGATAGAAGGGCAGGAGACGCTCTGATCTGGCGGTGGCTTCCAATAACCCTGGAGTTCCTGCTTCTCAGTACCTGGCCTACCCAAGTCTCTCATCTCTGTGCCTGGGTTTCTATTTATTTCTGTCCTTAATTTCCATTGATTCAATAAGCTACCCAATACATTCTCAATAAACTTCCTATTTTCAAGAATTGATAATTTCTATCATTTACAACTAAATACCTTGGCACACTCAGATTCTATTCCGCTCTAACGTCCAATTTTTTGTAACACGGGAACATAACTGTAATAAAAAAATTTTATGTTGCAAGAGTAATAAAATGTTAAAAGAATACCTTCGTCTTTATTATATGTTTGTTTAGAAGAATTTAGAGTGTGTACGAGTTTTCTCACAGAAGCCCTGTACTCGGGCTGAGCTGCAAAATCTGTCTTCCTCCTCTGATTGGCTTGCGGACCTTCCACGCATGTCTTCTACCCTGTAAGGAGGTGCTCATGGAGTGGCGGCGGGTTGGGAACTCCAGCAGCCCTCTTTTCCAAGCCCTAGAGTAGTCTGTAGTTTCCCCGCAGCAGCAGTCCAAGTCCTTACACCCGGCCACAGAAGGCCTGCCGCGCCTCCGCGCACCCGCAGCACACCCGCCAAGCCGCACTCCGCTGCTCTCCAGGAGCCCCCTCCACCCATCCGCTCCGCTGCGCTGTGCGTGGGTTTGCCCCTCAGAACTCCCGTAGAAGCTCGTTCCTCTTACGTCAATCATTTAAGAAGGTGGAAACGTAATCCTATTACAGCCTTGAGAGATGGACCTTCGGGGCTGCATTATCAGGACAGGGAGACAAAGCACACAGGAGAGAATGTGCAGGGCCCCGGCCGACAAAGACGCATGGGGTGCCGCGCATGCGCTGGTGGCGCCCGGGGCGCTCCTCCGCCTGTACCGTGCTGCTTGCACTTCCAGCCTCCAGAATTGTGAGCCACAATAAACTTTGTTTTACAAAATAATCAACCTCCTATTTTATAAAGTTGATTAATACCTGCGCCAAGCACATGGACCTGCCTGTTTTTAAACAGCTCAAAAACCTGTAGCATGCTCTTCCTCTACCTAGACTGCTCTTGAGTCAGACAGCCATGGGTCTCGCCGCCCCTTATTTCTACCCATATGCGAACTGCCCACTGAGAGCTTCCCTCCCTCACGTATATACAGAGCGTTTCCTGGCCTCTTATCACACTCGTCTCTCCACGACACTTGCTCACAGATACATTCCATGTGTGCATGTTCAATTTTGGCTCTCCTCTAGAATGCATATTTAATGAACAACAATTTGTTCTCCTCTAAATTCCTTGCATCTAGAACAACTGGTAGCAATTGGTAAGTCAACAAACACCTGTATCCTCTAGAAAATCTGATGTCAAATTTCCTTACATACATACACAGACATATACCGTCTCTCTGATTTTCTCAGAAAAGATACGGTTAATGTAAAAAGCCACACGTTTTCTCAGTGAACTAAAAGTGGGCAAAGGATGTAAAGTGAACAATATTTCAGTGGCTCAAAAGGTAGATTCCACTGTGATTGGGAGGGTCTTCACGACAGGCCACTCCTGACCTGCTAAGTTTAGCCAAGAGTCTGATGTGCCCCATAGTTGGTTGGAATTGTTGTTGCTTTCCAAAGTGACACCTGGAAGTGGTGATACACACACTGGAGGAGAGAAGGAAGAGACGCCTTCGGTAGTTCCCATCCTGCCACAGAGATCATAATCAGAAGTGTCTGACCGAGAGTCCAAGATGGAGCCTACTTCTTCCCTGACTTTCTGTTCTAAAATTTCTCTGCAGTGTTCCTCGACTCCTCACCAAGCCTTCTAGTGCTCCTAATGCCCAAGCTGCACACCGTCAGCAGTAGTCACCCAGTATTTACTGGGTCAAAGTCCCTCGGGACTCCATTAAACCATAATTATAACGACGCACCCCATTTAGATATCTGCTTTTTCCCCTCCGTAAAATGTTCCTGGTAAGAGTTCCTTCCTCAGAGAATTGTGATGACACTAATTAAAACAACGCTTACGGGATGCCAGCCTAGGGTGTGACGCCCGCTGGAGAGGCCGCAGTGGCCTCCGCTGCTGTCACACTCGGCATCCGTCACAGTCTCCCCACCACCATGGAGGGGTCAGCGCTACTCTTGCCGCATCCCACTGGCACAACAGGTCATCCTCCCACACCTCAGTGTTGCTGGTTCTGACTTTCTTTTGAAGCACACACTAAAGCAACCATCAGGAAGCCAGGGATGCTCCTCTGGCACGCTGTGGACGCAACACCACAGCAGTGGTACTCTCCTCACCAGACACCCAAAGCCCACTCAAAATTTCAACTTTATTTTGCCCTTCCATTGCCACCGCCCCTAGAAATGGAGCAGGAAAGTGTATCAGTCCCACTATGAACAAGGAGAAAGACACATGCTGCAGCCCACATACTTGTTAACAAAGACTTTGCCACATTGCCCATCGCATGGATGTCCTAACTAATCACGTTCAGCTGATGGGCCGTAGGCTTCCATGGCATCCCCACCCTGGGACCTCGACGTCTGCATCTCTCAGGACGCCATGAGATGTGCATCGGACATGTGTAGCAAACAGAGCCTTGTTTTCCTGTCACCAACGCTTAGAATGGAGATTAAATAAGATGACAGGGAAAACCAGAGCGTGAGCATTGGCTCACTTCCCATGTGCTGGACCCTCCAGTACTTGTCTTAGATGACCTGGGGACCCGTCCCCTGAGGTCAGCACCCCATTCTGTATTTCACAGAGCAAAACCAGAACACAGAGGAGCACATACTCCTTCCTGTCCAGGAAGGGCGAGCCGGGTCGCAGAACCCAGGCCACCTGAGCGAAGGCTCACATTTATTTTATCCATTTCCACAACCCCTTCCTGGTAGCTTTCTTGTTAATTAGGGCTGTTTTCATAGTTACATCTAAGGAAAAACATGTGTCAACCTCAGTAAGTTTGCCTATGGCTTGTTTATGTGTGGTTTATTTTAATTGTCTTAATGGAGATATACCTCGCCTCATTCCAGAAAGGATCTAAAGCAGATTACAAGGATTAGTGTATAAATATATAAACCTGGGTTTCGGCCCTTGTGCTATTAAGCAAAATATTAAATACACTAAGACAAATTGGTAAAAAATTGGACACACCACTTACTGACAGGAACAGTGATGCTGATGAAGGACAAAAAGTAGTTCGGCCCATGGAAAATGAGTGATTTGTGTTGTCAAGGATGCCATAAACCAGGCCGACTAATATGGTCATCATTAACCACTGCAAATACGCGTCCCCCCTTCACTCCATCAGTGGACAATACACATAGGCCGAGGTACAGTGCAAGGGGGACGAGGAAGCTGCTACTTTGGCCTAAAACAATTTTCACTGACAATACAAGCGAAAGCTTCTCTGTGTGAGAGATTGTAGAACTCTTTGCTCAATCTCTGGGGGAAAGCTTCAAGATGTCTATCCTAACACTTTATTAGTTTAAAACAAATATACATGGGCTGCTGCACAGGACAGTTACTCAAATAAAGGAGGACCATCCATGGCCTTTATTTTTCCACTTTCTAGAGCTTGAACCATTTCTGAAAACTAAAATAAAGACCAGGAATAAAATCAGCTTTTGGCTCTGACCCTTAAATTGCTTGTTATGAGTTTCATGAAAGCTAACTACATCCCACAAGTGACCCTGGGTAATTTTATAAAAACCAATCAACCATCATTATTGTTACTTCCCCTCTAAAATAAATAAATGAACATAACTTTTTATATGTAATCACTTCTTCCCATTAAACATCTCTTTCATTTCTTTTCAAGGGAAGTAAAAGAGACTTTTAGCAGCTAGCTGGTGCTTGCAACATCCATGAAGAGCTGCTTTTGGCTAACCCTCCAATTAGCTGTGCTCTGCAATGACCACAAAATAATTTGTTATGTTTCTTAAGAAAACAAACACAGAGTTCTATTTTTCATTTACATGAAAAAAAAAAACAGAGCATATTTTACCATGCAATAACACCCCTCAGAAGATCCGCCTGCCCCTGACGGCCTCAGCTCTTTCAATCTACTGCTCTGAATCCTTCCTAGTCCATCCTTAGCCTGACTTTTCCACAAAAACTGTTTCTGGTAAAATCACACATAGCAGCCACATGAGTGAGTCCACGTTTTGCGTGGCCACCACGACATTTGGCTACTGTTTTCCTGAAACCCCTTCACCTTCCCTGCCCAGCACTCAGTCATCCTGGGCTGTGTCCTGCCTTCCAGGGGGTTTCTCCAATCACCCCTACCACGTGCCCTTGCTGTGTCTGTAGACAAGGCCCTCTGCCCACTGTCTATCACTCTGCACCTGCTTCTCCTATCTTCCTC